CCCCAAAACCCCAAAACCCCAAAACCCCAAAACCCCTGCTCATTCTCACAAGCTGAATCCAAGAGAATCTTATATAAAGTGAACTTTCACCAATAAAAATTAGACCAAGTTTAGAATTTGTAGTGGGACTCCCAGAAGGGAATTTTGGAGGGGTTTTGGGGTGGGAAGGGTGGATAGAAGGGAATGGGGTATTAGAGTATCGGTTTTAGGGGGTTTTGGGGGATTTTGGTTAAAGGGGATTTGGAGGGAAATGGTATCGAGGGTGGAGGAGGTAGGAGTGGTTTAATGGATGTATGGTTTGGAGTTAGGTGGTGGGTTGGATGGTAAGAGAAGAGAGAGTCTTTAGTTACATAGAAATGGATTAATCAAGGACCGCAGTTTCATTATTTTGCATGATAATTCTAAATAATCATAAAAAATTATAATACAATATAGATTTCAAAAATTTACGAATAAATTTTGAGATCATCACCAAATAAAATTTTATTTCCTAAAATATAAATGAGAAATATAAGAATAACAGCAGATGTGGCTCTAAAAGAAGACATTTTATAGCTTAAAAAGAAAATATTAACATAAACAGAAGAGATCTGGCTATTAAATATTCTAATTCTACAGTTACAATAATCTCATACCCAAATACTTTCAGGGCACAATACTTTATCATTTTTATGGTGGTCTATTATTAACTATTTTGCTCTTCTATTACCTTTCCTTGATTAAAAATATTGATAAAATAACTCTTTAAACTTCTTGGAATGGATCATCCCTTGCCAGTCTTTCTTACCAAGCAAGTAGGGATACTCTCCAAAATATCAGAGTCTCCAAATAGATGTCCTAAAATTAGCGAAGGAAAGTAATGTCGGTATATGCTCAGAAGTAAGAATCGAATATTTGAAATTCTGATAGCTAATTCGAAAAATTATGAAACTTTTGAAGTACTAGACTTTCTAAAAAGTCTACTAAGTGACATTACCTGTTTTGGCATCATATTTAATTAATAATAGAATCATCTTTGCTAGAGACTCTCCATTTCTTGAAATTCTAAATTTATTTTTCTAACTCAGGTGGTTTATCTAACAAAACATAATACTCTAGTAAATACTTTCTATTTTTATCTCATCTAAATTCATTTCTCATCCTGCAAGAGGAATAATTATGAAATAAGCTTGCTGCTAAATTTGCTCTATCTAACTCAGAGTTGCTCTCCTCAAACAATTAAGTATGGAGAAGGCATAAAGAAAGCTTCAATGTCCTTGATTTTCATGGATCGAAGTCTATTTTTCTTATGAATTTCTGGTAAAATATTGCTAGCTAAAATTTTTCTCGGGTTAGCTTAAGCCTCACTGCTAATAATTTTATCAAAGTTACCAGGAGAGCTACACTTAATTAGTAGTTTTGGCCAACTTATGCTCTTTCTTGAAATACTGAGAGAGTTTTGGTTAAATTTTGGGGTAATTTGGAGAAAAATACAGTAATTTTAATCTTTTGAAAGTTTCTAACTGGTAAAATCTAGGTATTTTCTAGGTGAATAATATTAAATAGTTTAGAATTGTGTAATGTTGGTGAAACTGTCTCTGAATATTTGGTGTATAAAGGGCTTGCTAGATATGATTTCCCACTTTCTTTTCAGAATATCACTACAAGCAGAGAGTTTAAATATAAAGCTAATGGAATGAAGTACCCATACATGCGAGATTTCCTCCGAATCGAATCTCCACAAATTTACTAGATAGAAGCTATTTATGAGACTTTTACTCATATATAATAAAGAATTTTTGTGAGAAGGTTTTAGTAATTAATTATAAAGGATCCAAAAGGACTCTAAGCATTATATGCTGTAGAGCCCTTTAGTAATATTAGAGAAACATTGAAATTAGTTCAATGAAGCCATTTTTCTTTGTTTGGCCAGCTTCTTCAAAAGATCACTAATGTCTCTCTGTGTTGCTGATTTATGCCTTAGATCATTCTCTTTATCATAAGAATTTTTGTCAGCATCGTTTGCATTAGTTTTGAAAATTCTCTGATCATTCATTGCAAGTAAATGCTCATTTCCGAAGTCGTTCTTCGACTTAGAAAATGGAGAGCTTCCCATTGATCTTGCTCCCACGGTCTCTCTGACTTGGAAGAGAGTGCTGCTTCCCTCAGAAGATATTTCATCAGAGATATTAGCCTCGTCAAAATCTCTGAAAGTAAAAACAGTGCCTGAACTGTAAATTGATGAATTCATTTATTAATTATTATACTATCTTTAACCCAATTTTTATATCGCTCCGGGGTTTTGGGGTTTTGGGGTTTTGGGGATTGGGGTTTTGGGGTTTTGGGGTTTTGGGG